TTAAAATAAGTGGTATTTTTCAGAAAGGTTGGCACTTGCCCTGAGCTTCAACTTGAACTAGCGGATGTCTTTGATTATAATATGCCGAGGGCTTATGAAGGGCCTTTGACGAAGGAGAGTCTGGGGGTGATGAGGAAGGAGGGCGAGATACATGAGTAGTTGAGTGACTCTTCTCTGCAACAGGTGGTTGGAGAGGGGCTGATGTAATCGAGGAAGTAGCGGACTGGTGGGAATCGTAGAGATGCGAAGGGACTGGAACGGGAGTAGTTGCAACAGACGGAGGCGAAAATGGAGACTCAGGGTCGAGATGCAGCTTTCGGCCTTTAGAGGGACTGCGTTCAATAGTTCGTCGAGGTTTAAATACTCGATTGTACTCGGCCAAGTCAGTGATATCCCCTGCACCATAGTCCCCGCCGCTAGGGGGCTCATCATGAAAGGCATTGGGCTCCTCCTTTAATGAACACCAGTACCAAGCACAATAATAAATTTATGCAAAAAAGATCTAGTTGTTCAACATTTTCCAAACTTATCTATATCAATGGTGAAACATTAAGAGCTTATTTTTTACAGCTGGCTGACAGTTAAATCATATGCTTAAAAAATATCCGCCTTTGACAAGCCCTGCAGTCGATTATACATGCCGGAGCTCTGTTTAATTATTCTGGTGCCCTCCATATCTACATCACCTTTCCTAAAGTTAGCTTTGTATCATTCTCCTTTGCTTCAATTTCATATGGCCAAGAACTCAAGTCAATAAAAACCAAAAGTTTATCCGAAGACGATGGTGGAAGTTTTGGCAGAGGTATAAGTGTTTACTATATGAAGGTAATGATAATGAAAGATATAGGACAAAGGTATGGGTAAGGGGATATGATTTAGGTATGTGGAAGCATTAAGATCAACTCGGATTCGAGCCTTGCTGAGGATGCTGCAAGGATCAAACTTCAGCTTATCCTAGAAGCAAGTCTACTTTAAATTCAACAAAAACATGAAGAAGAAAAACTCAACTCAATCATTGCTCTTATAGTAAGATTTAATTTTGTTATTGAATTGAAACAAGCCTTGCTTTCCACAAGACTATCAACCTTGGAGTGAATTGCAGCGGAGGGCTAATAGGCTTAAACAATGGGATTCAAAGACAGGTCGCGATAGTAAAGTGGCATAGCGTTACCACTAAATACACAACCAAAAAACAATCGAATCGCATGTCTACTAGAAAAGTCTAGGTAATCATAGTGTGACAAAATAAGAAACTTTTGTCCTCTTGGTCCTTGTAGCTATGAAACATAATCTGAGCGAGATATAGATGCTGCGACAATATAGTAATTAATTTAAAAGTGTTACACCAAGTGGAGATATGCTAGCAACATTAAAAAGCCCTTTTAAGGTTTATCTAAGCTCATTTAAAACTCAAAATGAAGAGGAAGTATGGAAGAAAACGTGCGCTCAGTGGGACAAGCCTTGGGGTAACATAAACTGGTTATTTTTCGAAGATATGAAGACCAAGATAGTGTGGCCTTTTGTGTGGTCGCAGTCTCCTTTGTTTAATAGAAGTTGGTTGACCTTGTTTA